GTTCATTGGAAAACTCAATGGTCGTTGGAGCATTAGGTAACACTGCATGCCTTTTACATATTTTCTGAAATGTATATGTATATATGGGCTTATGGGTTTATGGATAAATCACCAGTTATTTTAACACTTGACATTTGCCTGGACTTGACATGCCTTGTTGTCACGCTGGGGGTTAAGTATCCTTTGGGATTGCATTATACTAAAATAAATACATAGTAGCTTTTTTCTGTTTATACATTATAGATTATGGATATTTCACAAGGTATATAGTTCTTTCTTCATGACCACATTGTGTCCAGGGTTGCTGTCATTTTTTCTGGTTCACAAACAGAATACTCTCGGGTTTTGACATTTTTGAACCATTGAAAACCACGTTTAAATATCACAACCTGGTCCTGTTATTGTAAGTAATGCATGCAGATAAAATCTTCACATTGATAAATGTTTATTAATCACTATCACTGCATGCAGACACTGTTTCTGAAATGGGACTATCCTTGACCTGCTAACTGTTCTACGATATACAGTGAACCTCTACCTAACAGAAATCGAAGCTAATTGATAGACGGGCATGCTGATCATACTGCAGAACCAATGGCACAGTATAGGGTTGCACGCTGTGCGAGAATCGTGCCGGAAAATGTGAAAAATACCTAATTAGTCATTTATGAAGTATTTCATACCTCTAATTTTACATATTGTTTACCAAATTTAATGCTCACCACAGGCTCGAAATTGCTATTATAAACACGAAAACTCACAGCTTGGCCCTGCTGACTAGAACTTATGCTTCCCAGACACCACCTCATTAGTGGGTTTCATGATCAGCCCCTCTGTTCGCCTCATTCTTGGATCTGCCAATGTGGCTGCCTCGTTTATTTACTCTGTTAGTTTACAGGGGTTTACTGCATTTTAATCTTGTCTAGACAATTTGTCGTATAGTATTACCTTTTTGTTCCTCTCTAAGGTTACATTTGGGAAACTAAGCCTTCCTAATGTTCACTTGTGCACACTGTAAATAATGCTGAGAGGGTCTATGTCCCCCTGGGTACTATCGGAGGGTATTGGGTACGGTTCGATATATCGCGAACGTACCCTGGTACTATCTAATATGCGACTTGTACCTCGCCTACTCCACTAACGAGTCTAGGGAGTCGCCTATGCCTACTCCCTAACCCTAACCTTTAACCCTAACACTAACCCTGACCCTAACCATATCAGATAGTTACCAGGTACCGTTCCGGCAGTACCCTGGTGACATAGACCTAAGAGCGTAAATAATGCTTGTGCTGCACATCTCAAGTGTCTGTAAATTTTATGAAAATTGCTCAAAACCTTGGTCTTTATGTAAACTCATTAGTGAATGCAGTGAGCACCATGCATTCTAAATTATCTAAATATATAATTGTGTGTACATTCAGTTTGCACGCTCATGATGTACTGTATTGACAGTGTGCTTTGTATTTTGACTAGGCAACATATGCATGATTGCATTGCTGTTTTGTATAACTTTCGTGTGTGTTTCATGAAATTGCAGTAGAGGCCACCATCTGAAATATAATAAAATTCTTGCTTTATCTAACATTATTAACCTCTACTGTACACCTCTTTCAGGGGTTTTCTCTTTCTTCTTGTTCACTGGTGTTTGAACGCTTATATGCCAGAATGTTATAGTGGACCAAGTGCCTAACCGTCAATTACTATTTATTCCTGTAATTGTAAGTAAGGTTGCAGGCTGACATTCATGAGCTGTCATTACTTTATTGTGTTTATTGATTTCACATCGGATGCATGTTGTGGTTGTGTTTTGCTGTTGTCGCCGTGTAATTCAGGTGTAAGCTCCATATCTTATTAAGATATACTTTGGTGAGTGCCATAAGGCTAGCAGTTAATAAAGCAGCTGTTTGACTTGCTAGTGGAGCTAATTCGTAACTTACAAGGTTATCAGCCTTCCATTCTTTTTCCCAAGTGTAAATTTTCGTGACTGTTTTAATTCTCAGTGGAGCTATATATTTTTTTGAGCAGCGTAATTCACAATTGGAGCCTATCTTCATAATCATCCGCGGTTCTTTTAGTGTTATTGGCATGGCTGTGGACACGCTCTTCTCTGCTTTGGTAAGTGCTAGAAAAATGGGCTTCATTGTCATTGTCACGGTGATGTCATTTCAGAATAGTCTTCTTAAAAACCTTTTTCAGATAATTTTGTGTAAAGTGACAGTAGTTTTCCAGCCACATTCCACTCTGATGTTTCCAGTTGAAGATTGCGAGAGGCATGATGGAATCAGAAAGAGAACCATACTACATGTCGAAAAGTCTGCATGAAGATCTGTGGCAGAAGAACAAGAAACCAAGAGAAAACCGAAGTAGAAATACGGAAATAGACCAGCGTTCACTTACAGTTGTAGAGTCTTACTGTTAGTCTTACACTGTACAGTCTAAAGCATGTTCTCACTACTGAATGGAAGTGATGCCTTTTGAGTTATACACGTGTGAAGACATTGGTTAGATTTCTTCAGTTCGTAGTAGTGCATACTATCTAAGTTGGGTTTTATTTTTCAGCCCTCTATGTGCTGTACATTGGAGAATTCACCTACAGGGCATCATAAATAATGTCCAAATCAAGTTGATTGATTATAAATATTCCAAAGCGCCAGCAAAAGCAGTATTTTTCCGCTTGTGACCAAGGTAATCGGTTAAATTTATTGGTGGAATAAAACTAATTTCATATGTATGGCCATGCAATTCATTGAAAGGTGGGCTTGTGATTCATATGCAAATCTATGTATATATATTTCTGCTTCTCGCACATGTGTCTACCTTGTGTTGATTGAAAACCAATGTTTTGTCTTGCCATTTCTCTGTTTGAACGCACAAATGCATTGCGTTCGCTTTCTTGCTTGTGTTTCTGGCAATGGGATGACAATGATAGTACTAAGTGGACGGTTCATGTTTATGATAGCTTTTAAACATTCCTGAAAACTATTGATTATATTTGTAATAATGTGTTTATGTGAAATTATGTAATGATGAATATTACTTATTATATTATTATAAGCATTTTAGAAATCTAAAGTTCAAGAAATGTTATGGATACTATCAGGAGTTAATAAAACCAAATTCATTCCTGAAATTAATGCGTTTTATTCACTTCTAATACTATTAATGCTCAACCCAATGATACTTCCCATAGCACATTGTAATATTATTATTTAATATATTTGTAATGGATATATATATATATATGTACCCATTACTGCTAAATTCGAATGGAATCTATTTTCTGTGTAATTGGTGTTGTGTGTTGCCATTGCATGATATCATCTAAGTGTAAATCGCTGATGCTTTAATTGAATTTTGATGTATGGCAGTTTAACATGTAATTTGTTCCCCAACATTCAATTATGTCATTCCACAAAATCTTCGTCAACATTGTGCATAATTGCTGTAAAATCAAGTAACTAACGGACCATTTAACTCGATTTTACCTGACTGGCATTAAAATGAAAACACAGTTATTATGTGAATATTCGCCCAACGAAATATAACGCGGAAATAAGTTTTCGCGCAGTTTTAGAGGTTCGTAATAAAAGTGTTAGGTACGTACTGTTTACGTCGTAAATCTGCATTTCCATAATAGTCGGCATTAATCCAACTAGTATCTATTATCGTTCTAATGGACATAATCAGAGCATCTTCTACATACACACCATTATATTATACTTTGCCTACAAATCTAGCTGACGAAGTCGGATGCAGCTTGTAGAATCGCATGATTGTCCGTCCGTCAAGCAGTTGGGCACCAATCTTAACGCTCGACGTACGGTCTTGATATTCGTGACGTAGGGGTGGGGAGGATCGCGAAAAGGACTCGGGATGTCGAATTTGGGGGTCAAGGGTCAAAGGTTAGACGTGTCAATGGGAGGGGAAGGACATGGTCTAACGGACCGAGTGCAAAACTTTTTTGTTCAGCGCTGACTACCATTTCTATCACTTTATTGAAAGAACGATGAAAATATACTTTACGCTGACGTGCGAAGAGTAAGGCTCTGATTAAACCTTTTGACCCTCAAGAGGGTTAAACATAGATTTGTTGACTGTTAAGGCATAATAGGCCCTTTGATTATGCCAAAGTTGACGAGATGCTACATGTAACTTGGCACCTTGTGTAGTTAATAAGTGCATATACCTTATAGCCAAACGCGTATTAGTTTGTCCAATATCACTGCTAATTACTCAAGAAATGTCTAATTGAAATTCGTAAATCTGGTAATCTGCGCGCAATGCTTAAATGCTTGCCAAGCAAATAGCCTCGAAACGGTTACGGTGACGTCACATTGTTGCTACAGGTGTGAGCCAGAGAATTGTTTGTCCCGGGATGCTTATAACGACTAATGAGCTAGTAAAATGTTATTCTGTGGTGTATTCTTGGTATTGAGGCACAAGTAAATAACCGTGGGTGCTAATGAACGCGGTACCCACATGTCTTTAATTTCGGACCAGGGTGTATTCGTTTGACCAATATACGTAAATACGCGTAGTGCCGTCTGCGTTCATGTTTAGTTTGTGCCCGTGGTTAGTCCGTGATCCCCCCATAGTGTTGGCCCCAACACAGCCTACTTCATTATCACTAGCGTCCGTACGTGGATTCCACGTTCATTACAATCAGAGCTACTGTTACGTATACAGTTACGTACTGTACTATCGCTAGCATTGCCGTACGGCGAGCATGCGTGCGGAAATGTCCGGTGCACTATAAATCTGTATCACACCGTTTCGCCGTATGCGGTTTCGAAACTGTAAAAATGTATGCTAGCCGCCACACTATCCGGATTTTGCCACTGTGACAGCACTAACGCCCCGACACTATTCCGACGCGATCCCGAATCGTCGGAGGACCACCGCACACTTGTCACGGACTCAAAGTTGGCCGCAAACCATGGCCACTCTCGTGGTGCGTTCAAGCGGATTTAGCGGTACTAAGGGTCGGGAGTGTTTCCCATGCTTCGAATGCCATTCGCATTCGAATTGCGGTTCCCTATGGCGCTGCTCTGTGATAGGCTCAATTTTCTTCAGCGCACGCCGATCGGGATCGGATGGCACGCACACTATCGAGTCGCGTCGTAGAAGCCGCACATATCGACCGCGATCTGCCTCCATTCAAACTTCGGAATCGGCCAACATGACCTCCAAGAGCCAATCTTAAAGGCTTCCCGAGCCCAAGAACTAGAACATCTCGATCTAATCGTACGCCTTTCAAATCACGCTCGGGTCGGATAGTGTGCGGCTAGCATATAGTCAACTGATTTCTTGGACTGCGGATCTTCAATTAAGACACTTCTTAGTAACCAGCAGTGCTATATTGGACAAACTAATCATTGCGTTTGGCTATAAGTTATTTACTTATTAACTACACAGGTGCCAGTTACTGGTAAGCATCGTCCAACTTTTGCATAATCCAATGGGTCTATTATTCCTTTACAAAGTCTGAACTTCTTTTTGCTTCTATTAGACGCCCCCGTTCACCCGCCCCTCTCCTCTCGCCCGCCTCCCCACACCCGCTCCCACCTCCTCCGACCACCCCCCCCCTTCCCCCCGGCTGCCCATCACTACGCGCTTCGCGCTTGACGCATATCCATATATCCATGATAACATGTTAATATAGTGAAGTCATTAAAGTTACACAGCTGTATCTTTTTTACTGTACTACCGGTATAGCAAAGCGTATCATAGATTTTAGATCTGTATTAGTAGTATCCTAGATATATGCTCTGAGCGTGAACGCGGTGGCGGGAGGGCGCACTTGATTCGGTTGCCAGCGAGTTTATCAGAAGAATGCCCGGCTACAGTACACGTCAGTTGAGCACTGTCGCTCTGCGGCACTTGTTACAATTTGCGTTGATATCTTAAACTGGTATAATCGTTATAGAGTAGTTATAAGTAGTTGACCATGGATGTTCTTATGATCAGCGTTGTATAATGTAACAGTTTGGCCTACTGTACAATAAACGGCAGAAAATGTATGTAAACCATATAAAACTTCAGTTTTCCGTAATATTTCTGTACGGCTGCATCAGTCCCCTCACGTGCTCTCTAACACACATTGTATGCGGGCGCATTGTGTGGGCAGGCCAAGCATTAGAATACGTAGAAGGTATCGAAGGAAGGATACAAGCTCACCACCCACTGTACAGTCCAGACAAGTCGTCAAAAATCTCATGCCTTTCCTTAATTTTTGTAAGAGGGTCAATACGTGAAAAATGTACACTTAACGGCTTAACACTCGTATCCCATGGGCGCCCGAGAATCAAATCTTGCGCAGAGGGCAATCCGAGAACCGCGATTCCCACGTCCAAACAGGGAAAGTAACGAATTGGCTAGTTCATTGGTAAGTTAGTTCATTAGTGCCTGAAGCATGGAGGACAATGTAGCATTGCGTGAGACATGACTCGATCACGATCCTTGCTCCCATGCATTGAGCTGTATATAATAACAAGACAATAATGTTATTATATACAGCTCAGTTCCCCCATCACGCAATTCGGCTCCTGTACCACGGATGAGGGAGCGAAGGCTCAGGTGACCGAACACGGTTGCGCCTCACGCGCGATCTACGAAAGTGCGCATCTCGCACTATAAGTAGGCTATCGGCGTTTGGGAACTCTGAATAGGAGAGGAAGCAGGTGCCGGATGTGTACATCCATCGGTCACCTCAACACTCGGTAACAGCTCTCAGCTCTCTATCAGTGTTAGTGAAGGTCTACGAGGCGGGAGCCTTGAGTGCAGATCCTCCAGGTATGAACTCATCTCTACCTGTTCACATTTGTTCAGTTTTCTTGTTCATTTTGTTTTGATCATTTTGCTCATTCTCTCTGTCATGTTTTTGCTGTTTCTCATGCTCACCATCCACTGTGGCAACCAAGTATATTATAATAGTGACCCATTTGGCTACTATTAGTATTACATTTTTTTGAGGGGTGGCAGACTTTGATGACCTGCGGGTTCTTTCGCCACTCCTGTGCTTCCTTTGTAAACTAGATATTAACTATGCCTTGTATATTTCCTATTTGCCGCTGTAAACTGTATATACACGACTTATGTACAAATAAACATCTTGAATCTTGAATCTTACCGTGTCAGTGTTTTGTTCACTGGTGGAACGTGCGCAAGCATATGCACGCACGAGCGCACACGTACGCACGCACGCGCACGCACGCACGCACGCACTCATGAACGCGCATACTTATAACAGAGCGTGTAAAGAGTGGCTTACAGCTTTATATATACACTCTTTGGCATAACCTCAGTAATAGCCCAAGCAGTAATACTCAAGAACCGATCATCGTGCAGCATAGCTGGACGCGTAAGAACGAAGATGTTTCAATGTCAGTTAAACGTCTACACATAGTAGATAAGGAATAAGAGATATATAGGAATAATAGATTATTATTATATATAATATAAATATTATAATTATTATAATCGATTATTATTCACTCCTGAAACGGCGAGTCACAACCAATGAAACAGATCTTGCCGGTTATACAATATTATGCAATGTATTCAGTGCGAACCGGTACCGCATAGCGGTGATATGGAAAATGGTGTAGTGCTACACAAGCGGTATATACTATCAGCGGTATATCTCTATTATCTACTCCTGATACTATCTGCTATAGAATTATAGAGTAATTAAACGCCGTGCGTGCGTGAACGCCGAACGGGTGCGTGCGTGCGCGCGTGAGTGCGTGCGTGCATGTGTGTCCTTGTGAACGAAGCAATGCCGCACCTGAACATCTTTAAATTCAATAATCTTAAGCGCTAATTTCTAGTCTTCTGGAACGAAAGTGGTTTCTTTGTTGCTTGAATTTCTTGGTGTTTAAGAATGAAACACAAGTGTAGTCGTCTTAGCGCAATTAGCAGGTTATTATGGCATTATGTAGGCTGGTCGAACCAAGTGGGTCCAGGGATCAGAGCCTACCATCTGTGACTGCAAGTCCGATTTTCTCATATGTGCTAAAAATCTGTCCCATTGGAGATAAAATAAAGTAGGCCCCTACTTCAAATGATTAAATATATACTCAGATTTTATTTAATTACAAACGTGTATTTCTCAGATAAAATTCTGCGAGGGTGGGTCCCCCTCACCCTCTCCCACCCCGCGAGCGTGGCGGGACGCGTATATATGTATATATATATAGTTTGATAGATAGATAGATGGATAGATAAGATAGTAGATAGATAAAGAGTGGAGGAGGGAGTAAGAGATAAAGTGACAGGACATTATGTCGGCAATTTATTTCGCAAAATATTAGTTTTTATATATATATATATATCTAAATTTCAATGGCCAGTTTAAACGACAGCAGTACCTATTTTAATTGGATTTATATTAAGTATAATGTAATAAGCATAATATTATTATAAATGTGATTAATGTGCTAAAAGAATAAACACAACATTTCGCTTCATATGCGCGCGGTATCATGCAAAAGCGCAGCGTCAGCGCGTGCCTTCGTCTCGAAGTTTACAATTACAGACAACAGATGGCAGTTGACACGACATGGCGACGGTGTTTATAAACAAACTGATCGTAAACACACCTGTTCCAGAAAAAATGTGACATCAAGGTATAACTTGAGGCGCGCTATAGGCCAAAGATGGGGAAAGGTAGCAGTAAGCTAACTGCTCACGAGATCCGGGAATTACAAGCTTGTACCTACTGTAAGTATTCGACGTAATCATCACATCCAAAGTTATCTTATCAATCATCAATGGCCATTGAGCATTATTGCATTCATGGCTTTATTCATTCATTATTATTGTCATGGACTCGCAGTCTCAAGTGACAAGTTTCCCACGCCACGTACAGCACAATGGGTTCAAGAATATAAGAACTGTCCCAAATGTGCAAATATGGACAGCTCTTATATCCTTGGGCCTCACAATGCGGCAACGGTGGCTCAAGAAGCACGGGTTTGCATCCGCGATCTTTCGGTTCAAGGATAGAGAACATGGGTTCCAATAAAACCAATGTCATTTACATCAATATAAATATAATATTATATCAATATAATAGGTTAGGGTTATGGTTATGATTAGGGTTAGGGTTAGAATTAGGGTTAGGCACATTGGTTTTATTGGGACCCATGTTCTCTATCCTTGGGCCGACATGAAATGTATTTACTACCATAGTCTTAATGTTTCTCTACTCTATTTCGCTATTGCCGCTAATTACCCGTAAATGCCGGTCAAATTCTCATCTGCAACACACAAGTACACCGCACGCACGCCCTGTGCACAATTATAACTACATGCATAAGAGAGCAGGTAAGAAAGCGTGATCGCAAAATTCGCTCGACGCTTGCTTCATTTCACACGACTACAGAACGAAAACACACCAAACAGCCTCCATCTTGGTAGCGTGACGCCACGAGATGTCACGCGTGTACACAACAGCATTTGAAAACGAAACGCAAGTAGTGCTAGCACTTTGAGGAATAAATGCATAAATACAGGGTATAAAGTTGTGGAAAGTGTTAAAAAAGATAGGTGAGATGTCCATGTAGATAAATAAGTGTTAAAAAGCCCGATCATTCTGTGTTTTGTGAGCCATTTTTCGTGGAAGCATTGGGGGACAGGTGCAGTTACGAAACCTGGCATAAAATGCGATCACGCTTTCCTACCTGCTCTCTTATGCATGTAGTTGTAATTGTGCACAGGGCGTGCGTGCGGTGTACTTGTGTGATGCAGATGAGCATTTTACTGGCCTCTACGGGTAATTGGTGGCAATAATAGGCGAAATAGAGTAGAGAAACATTAAAGTGATTACGTCACCGTAAATAGTAAAAAAATATGGTTAAATTGCTGCATTATACTTCTTATTTTACATTATTGTTTGATGTGAACATACACTCGTGACTCATACATAGCCCATAGCAAGCAATTAATGTTATGAACACTAATATCAAATCGTACAGGTTTTTTGGATTTTTAGCTAGTTGAGAAACAATCTTATCAGGTAAGAATTTGATGATACCTGTAAAAAAATGGCAACAAAAATTTTACAAATTTTACCATAGAAAATTCGTGACGCAGTCACTTTAAGACTGGTAGTAAATACATTTCGTGTTTATTGACCTTTTTTTTATTGAGACGTTTCAAGTGCCTGTGAGCAAGCCCTTATCCATGGAGATTCTAATTAACTTTTCCACCCTTTTCACACAGAACAGTTGTTTAGTTAAATCTACTATTTCAAGAGTAAAGTATGTAATTTTGGACACCTATAGATGTCCATGTGACGTCCATGAGCCGGCCTCGATCAAAATCCAAGTATTTATTTTTCCTATTATATATCCTTTTTTTTTCTAGTTGACAAGAAGGAACTGCAGCAATGGTGAGTATGCCTACATTTGTAAAAAGTGTTCATTTTCCAGAAACTGCTCATGTATTTTCATGGTTTCCGTGAATAAAGAGGAGCATTATTATTAGGATTTTATGAGCATATTATGATATTTATTGCATAAAAACGACACTACACCTACATATTTCAGTTATCACCCATTCACCTTTCTTAAGGTCTAGCTGTTAATTTGTGTGGGATGAACTTGTCTGATCTGGATCACTTGATCCTGATCTACCCAAACAAATGCAGAGTCTCATCCAATGGGTCTACTATTGCTGTGACCTATCACAAGATGGTTCATTACTACCAATAAGCAGTGCTGAGTTGAAGCCACATTAATTCCCCTTCAAACCCTGCTTGTACCAGCAGGGTCCAATTGGGGGGATCTGGTGTAGTGGATCCAACCAAACAAACGGCTAGTTCCTGGGACGCATGTGATCCAGATCTTGTGATCTGCCCAAACAAACGCGCCCTTATTAAACATCAAATATCATTAAAATCAGCATGCATGTATGGGCACTTTCATGACTCCGTACAGCTGTGCTGCCACCTGACAATTTATGCTCTTGAATTTTTGTTTTTCATATTTCAGACTGGGAGCTAAACACAAAACTGTAATTATATATGTACCTAACTACTGTTTAACTAAACAAATTTCTATTTGCAATAATAACCTACATATTTTAACTAGAACAAATAGTGAGATATAAGATATTGTAATGCTTCTTATAATTAGTATAAATATTAAAATAAGTGAGAATTGCCCTCCGTCTGTAGCCTGCAGCGGAATAGTTAAATAGCACAACATGATTATTGGATGCACATATAATGGTGGTAAGGGCATTAAAAGTAAATTAATGATCATTAACACATTAAAAACAAAATTCAAAAAAACATTTCTATTACCTATTGAACCACAAATTTTTGACATTGATTTTACTTTAACTGATATTGTGCATTAAAACATAGAATATTGTTCCCCAATTTAAATGTAAACTCTAATTGAAGCAGCAGTGTTACTGTAATAATAGGGGGCAACAAGAGTAATCAGTGCCAGAAGAATTGTCTTGCACCAATTCACTTAAAGGGATAGTAGACTCTAGGATTTTACTGCATACAACTGTACTTACTGTATAACAAATTGTCTATACCCACACGTATTTGTTACCAGATACCTAATTTAATTGTTATAATTAATTACACATCAACGCTACGAAATTTAAACGGCGCCATGACACCCGCGACCGTGCTGCCACCCCAAAAAAGTTGCGTATTTGACAATTTATTTTGCACGTTACAGACCGAGGGCTAATCACAAAAGTGCAATTATATTTATACCTAAATGCTATTTAACCAAATGATATTCATTTTAGAGCAAATTTATCCATATTATAACTGAAACTATATGTCGTTTATAAGATATTACAATCCTTCTGCTTTTAAATGAATAAATAAGAAACACCCTCGGTCTGTATAGCCCTTGGCTGAAAAGTGGTTTTGCGCAACTCATCAGATCGTGGGCTTTCAGTGGCGCCACCGTCGTTGTAATCAAACTGTAGTCGTTAGTTTTAAAACATTTTTTAATAATATTTCTAATGCTGATTGAACCATGAAACTTTTTATGTAGCGTAATTTTAACCTAAATTAACTGAAAATAACCCTAGAACCTAGAGTAAACGATCCCTTTAATTGTTATTTAGCCTGATGCAAACTATTAGTAGTGGGTATATACTATATACCCTACCTGTATAAATGTTTGAGATAATTGAACTTTCTGCAATCTTCTCGTTTAATATATAATCATATTTGATATCTTACCAGGCACAAAGACTTTATGAAGGATTGTCCAAGTGGAATATTACGAAAAGAAGTGAGTAAAATCTATAAGCCATATCGGAAAGTCCCCGCCGCCGTATTGAGATCAGATAAGAGGGGGTATAAGTTGCATATATATAACAGTAAAATACGGTTATGATAGTACTAGTCTAGGTTTTTTATTTATAATTCTCTTCACTAACATCGTACTTCAATTCACAGGTGCGTTTCTGTTTACAGAAACATTTACGAATGTGATTGTGGTCATTTGGGATATTTTGCAATGTTTGGGTTAATGCAAAAACTAAAAACGCACGAGTGTTTACATTAATCATGTACTTTCCTAAGCGCGCCCCTGCCATTTTATACCCCCTTATATATGACCTAAATAACACAGCTGGACTTTCCGATATCACCTATTGGTGATAATTGAAGTGCATTGAAATTTTTGGTCAAGATGTGTTGTATGATTTGTCTATATGATAAAAATATAAAGCTGTACATATCTCTATTATAGTAATAGTAATTGGAATTCAGTTACACCACTACGCAAATGTGTTTGCTTATTTATCGCTACTGTCCGTATAGGAATTTCAGACAATCTACCAACAGTTTTTTCCTCATGGTGACCCAGCAAAGTTTGCCGGTTTTGTCTTCAATGTTTTTGACTCTGATAAGGTAAGTAGAGGTTGTAATTATTTATGAACATCAAATACAAATCAAATCCAGAAATTCAAAACGGCAAGAAACAAACCAATTAAACACACTTTAGGAGATTCATATTTTTAGCAGATATTACCTGCCGAATGTTTGGTAATGACCTTTTAAGTATTGCTATGTCCCCCAGGGTACTGCCAGTAGGTACCCTGGGTATGGTTCGGTATACCGGAACGTACCCTAGTACTATCTAATATGCCGAACCGTACCTCGCCTACGTACTCCACTAACGAGTCTAGGGAGTCACCTACGCCTACTACCTAACCCTAACCCTAACCCTAACCCTAACCCTAACCCTAACCATATCAAATAGTTACCAGGGTACGTTCCGGCAGTACCCTGGGGGACATAGACCCTATGAGCTTAAGTATTGGTAATAGTTTGGACTGTAATAGTTTTTCTATATTGTGTGAGAGGTTATTTGAAATCTTTAATTCAAACAATACAAAAAATACAAAAGTTCATTTGAGTATGAAAAAATTACATAACTCTGTCTGCCTTTGCAAAATTTACAGTGACTAGTAAGATTCTTGTAACATTCTTATCGATATAAAAGTGATACTTAAAATACATGTGATGATAGTTATAATATCTACACAGAAACATAAAGGTTTACCAGTGTATTGATATATCCCAAAACAATCATTCTAACCACAAATAATATCAAGAATATCAATGCCTAGCATGAATGCACTGCATGAATTACACACTCGGTCACACAGCCCATCTAGGCTGCATAAACTGTGACATCAGTCAGACTATAGTTGCCAGGCAGATGGTGTATCTTTGTTGAAGGTTTACAACAGAACAAACAAGATTAGTAGTCATATCAGTAGATTCTATAGTTTATTATTTTGAGATGAAACTACTTACTAGTATTTTATCATTATGTAGGGACTTTATTAAGGAATGCCATCTTTTGACAGATTAAATGATACCACTGCCAGCTTTTCTAACAGTTATCTACTGCAATATATTGTGGCTGATAGGGTCTATGTCTCCCTGCCAGTCCCTGGGTACTGCCGGAACGTACCCTGGGTTCGGTTCGGTATACCCGAACGTACCCTGGTAACTATCTGATAGGGTTAGAGTTCTAGGGAGTAGGCGTAGGCGACTAGCCAGGGCCTAGACTCGTTAGTGGAGTAGGCGAGGTATGGTCCGGCATATTAGATAGTACCAGGGTACGTTCCGGCAGTACCCAGGGAGACAGACCTTGGCAGCTATATTGTGGCATAAGATATATGAGTGGGTTTTCCTACGTTACATGCATGAGTAACGTAATGAAACTTTAACGTTAATGAACATTACTGAACGTTAATGAACGTAACTTGAACGTTAATGAACGTAACGTACTTTGAAAATAGAAAATACGAAATGATAGTGGAGAAGTGGTGTGGTTATTTTTTTATGCAGCACGTATTGGTATTACTATGTTTTGATGGAGATGTATGTAAATTAACATGGCATCGTGAAAAGTTACCATTTCACTGATATGTAGTGTGAATATATGCATCTTTCATGCATATATGATAGTGTGTGCGGGAGGGTGCATGCACTTGTTGGCATATTGACTTTCAGCTGGCTCAGGAGTGCTCTAATTCTTGTAGTAGTTACGCTCCAAATTGTATGTCCATGGTTATATAAATGGTGCTGTTAATGCCGCACGAAGGGTCGTTAATGTCGTATAGGGTACTACATATATGTACTCGAGGTAACTATCTGATATGGTTAGGGTTAGGGAGTAGGCGTAGGCTACCTAGGTATCCTATACGACAACGACCCCTTCCGCCATAATGTTCTTGCGCCTGGATGAAAAATGTAGCCACCATTGAATTCATGTTGTAAACAAAATTCCCGCAGGATGGCTTCATTTCCTTCAAAGAGTTCATCATCGCTCTGTCAGTCACATCCAGAGGTACACTCGATGAAAAGCTCGACTGTAAGTTTTTTTTTTTTCTGTTCTTGCGCAGTTTGGAATGTATTTCTGTCATCTGTGACATTTCAATATGTGCACATATGTCAAACATGGCTTGCTGCATGTAATGAGCTATTTACTTTTAATCATAGCATCATGCTTCATCTGTGTACAGTACTGTTTCCTTAGCATGTGTCTTTTGTTGTGGGAATTCGGAGATTGAGCGACTAATTTAAGTACGGCTGTACCTCAGTACAGAGTCTTGTACCCAGCCTCGATTCACACATAATTACAAGTTTACTCATTGTTTCCACGTGACATAAAAGAACAGGATATTATGTAGAATGTCGAAATCTTACACTATCGAATTATCAGGGGCGTTTCATTGTGTTTCAATGTGCGTTATCCACTGTAGTCACGCACCACTATAGAGTATGTGTAGCTGCGTGCGTGCAGTGAATGCAGGATATAATTGATTTTTTATGCCGAAATATTTAAAAGCTGACAACCTGAAGCCCTTTTACTGAAAACGTTTGTCGATTTGTTTCCAACATAGGTGCTGTCTGTCTATACTCCTCCACTCCTTGTGTGCATCTGGTTTTTACAAATTGCCATTAATTTGAATCGTTGTACTTTTACATTTGCATATGGAAATGCATGTGAATGCACATGAATGTGATAGAAATTGAATGCGGTTGTTTTGATATGTTGATGCGTAGTAGGAACCTAGTAGAACGTAGAGCATATTGCAAATATATCTTTGTTAATAAAAAAAAAACGAAAGTGGCAGCATAATGACGAAATATAGTCAGGTCACGAATTTAAAACTTTATTGATTCTAAGTAATGCAATAAATGGTGCGCTGCTGGTTCTTTTTTGCGAAGTTCATTATCGAACAGGCTATTCTAGTTCTGTGTATACCGTCGCACGACCGTTATTCACCTGACAAGATGAACGTCACTACTGTGTCTGGTTGGCTGTAAAGTGCGATTCATAAATTTATCCTCCCGTTTGCGAGTCGTTTCGAGTAGATTGCATTCGCTCATGTTTATGAGTCGAATGCGCAAAATTTTCGAGATCGTGTGCTTTCTCCTCATGTTTTTCTCTTCGTGTGCAAGTTAAATTATTCTGCGCGTGCTTTTCTCTGCCCCTGGTAATGCTAAGGCGAGCACTTAACCAGCTGTGCGCTAGAGCCTGAATGTATGCCCTCTGGTTAACAAGACGATTGATGCGCGTAGATAATGAGAAATGTGTGCCGTGTCATTTGACTGGCTTCTGGTATTCAGCGTGTATCATGATGTGCATGTAGGTGTCTCTTCCCTGATAAAATAAGAATCCTTTACACGTGTGGTGTATTTAAAATGCTCCCCGTGCGCAGCAGGTTCTTGTTTTTTACCCAATCAGGCACCTAATGATGTGCAAGAAAATGCAGAATTTCATGAATCTATGTTTTTTTGTTTTGCATTTTATCTATGCACTGCATTTGCACGAAACAGCTGAGCCTACAATTTACATGCAGAAATTTCCTAATGAGTAATTCTTTCCTCTAATGTTGTTACCCAATAATATATAATTCTGGGTATAGGAATTTGAATAGAGCAGTGAAGCTTTACTGAATCCCATGCCGTGCACTGCTCCAGGGGCTTTTAACCTATACGACGTGGATAGAGATGGCTACATAACCAAGGAAGAAATGATCGACATTGTGGATGCTATCTACAGTATGGTAGGAAGCATGCTAGATCTTCCGAAAGACGAGGATACTCCCGAAAAGCGAGTCAATAAAATATTCAAGCAGATGGATGTGGTAAGTTGTGACTTTTCTATGCTTATTGGTTATCCACTGCTTAGTTAGATCATCCTCTATCGTTACAGTCTAACCTTTTTGATCTCTTCCAGCATAGTAAGTTCCTGTCTATCCAAGTTTAGCAACCTCACCTCTCTCCCCTGAAACCCCCATGTCAATACTTTTCCAAGATAATAAGTACTTTCCTTCCCCGATAAAGTCATGCTCTCCTCTATCTCCCCCATAACAATTTCTTTCATATCCAGGTTAACAATACCTCTTCGATGATAAAAAAAATCTTCCTTCCCAAAAGTTAACAACTAGCTTTCCCTGCTTGACATAACACCTTAACCATTGTAGGATAACATTCCTTCTCCTTTACCTTTATAGCAACCACTTTTCCTTCCCAGAACAAAAAAACAACAACTATTCCTCACTACATGGTAGTAACCACTTCCCCTTCTCAGGATAGCAACACTCTTCCTCCACCTTGATAATATTCCCACCACTTTCCTAGTATAACAATTCATCCCCGTACGTGGTAGTAAATTGCCCCGCACATCTTTCCAGGATCACAATCCATCCCCTCACATGGCAACAACACTGCTCTACCTTCTTAAGATGATAGCCCCTCTCCCTTAATATCCCCTCCACCCTCCTAGCATGCCATCCATCATGATAACATCCCCTTAATTTTCCCAAGATGCCATCTTCCAGGATAACACCACCTCTACCTTCCCAGGATGACACCTCCCCCTTCTGCATGATAACTATCACTTGGCCCTTTAATGATAACAGTCATCCCCTCCCCATAATAGCAACTGCTACACTTTGCCAGAACCACAACCCATTCCCTCCCCATGATAGTGACCACTTCCTCTTCCCACGACTATTTTCCATCCCCTCGCCATTGTAATAGCTGCTTCCACTCTCCTAGGATGAAAACCTGATATCTTCTGGCATTTTCCCCACTAGGATAACAACCCCATGCCTTCTGAAATCTGCCAAACTAGGATACCAACCCCATCTCCTTTCAAATCTGCCCAACTAGGATAACAACCCCAGTTCTCTGAAATCTGCCCACCTAGGATAACAACCCCATGTCCTTTGAAATCTGCCCTATTAGAATAACAACTATCTCTTTGGACAGGTGACTTTTATAATTGATCAGAGTATGCAGTTGCCAATCAACGTGACCACATATGTCAGGAAAGGTGAAACTAACGAAAGAAAAGTCAATGTGTGAGGTGGTGTAGAACATTGCTGATTTATGTATATATTATATGCTAGTTGATTCATGTAAGGATAGCAGTAGCCTCTGCACGTTTCACATTATATATTTAAATTTGCTGGTTGAGCAGGCGGACTTCATGCATTGAAGATAAGCATCATGGCAGCGATTAGTGTGTAGGAATTTTTTGTTGCAGACTTAATATTTTACTAGTTTTGGACCAAAAATGAATACGTTGTGACCGTTGTATCTATTGATTATGTTGCAAGACATATTTGAGAATGTTCTGGAAAATGCAGGAAGATGAAAGGAGTTTTGAAATGTCCATCAGCCGTTGCAAACAGGCTTTTAGTTTTTGTCTATTGAGCGGCGCGGCTCATCAGAATTAAACTCTCTGCTCGCAAAGTGGAGAAATTTTCATGAAACGTACGCGTGTTTCCTCCTGCATAATCCAGCGTGTCAGCTGCTCGAGCGTAAATATCGGTGTGCCATCGCGCGGTGCTGTTATCGTTTCGCTATGCCATATACAATAATCACCAGGATATCCATTGCGGTTCTGTATCAGACGCTATAAATGTGTGTGTGTGTCTTATTACCAAGCAACTGATCTTCGTTTATGAGGTTTCCACGCATAGTTTAGAAGCACCCAGAAGCGTGCCTGCCCGAATATATATTCAGATCTAACCTAAAATATGAAACGTGTAATTTACGAACGTGCAAAAATAATAGTGTCACTGGAAATTTCTGCATCGCCATTGCGTACTCGTAAGATATTATGTTCTTTACATGTTCTTTCAGGACAAAGATGGACGGCTGACGAAAGAAGAGTTCAGAGAAGGGTCTAAGTGTGACCCTTGGATTGTACAAGCTCTCTCACTGGACGTTCCACAGTAATATTCTATACACACTTATTAAACGGGTGTTTTTTTCTATCTAATCTCACTGCTAGCCCGTTAAATGGGCTCAGACTGAGGGAACAATAATGTTGTTATTGTGGGTGTCTCATGAAACCATATAACTGTAGCATTATTGTACCATGCAATCATGTACCATGGAATCATGCAAACCAAGTACCATTGTTAAGCTGAGTTTTAGACTGCAGATACACATATTGTTTGGCATCAACACTCATTATAGTTGATATAACTGCTACGGTAGCAGTTGTTTCCTGGTAACTCTATATGGACGTCTCAGTCTGCGTGTGGCTGTCATACACCTATATGACCAAGGTATTTTATTTATAACGGGTGTGTGGTTCCAGCAGTGGATCTCTGTGCAGTACTGTGGGAACGTCTTGCTGTTTTTTTTATTTTTTCTTTACTTGACAAAACTGTGTTATCCTATTTGAAATGAAGCTAATTGTATGTATTGTCGAAGTCGTATAGGGATATATTCGAACTAAATGTACATTTAAACATCTTCCTGTGCGTCATATCAACATTTTAACATCCATTACCTCATACATTGTTTACAGATCTCGTGAGACCGCACACGTACCTATAACTAAAATCACTGCGAAATATATAATAACAATTTGTAAAATTGTAGTGACAAATGGTCTCAATATCACTCCATGGCGATTGTTCTATGTGTAGCTTCAAGTGTGTTTGTTCCCGTGCACGAACATGTGTAACCGTGCGCATGAAAGTGTTCGCTCCGATGTTCACGTGTTTGTAAGTGTGTAGATTATCCGGATATTGCACCCAGTGACAGGATTGTCTTCGAGTGGGTACGTGCTTGACAAACCGACGCTATATCATGAATAATCTTTCGAAACAAGCAGTCGCCATGGAAACGCGAGAAGAAGTGTGTACCTGCGCGACGTGAAGTGAAACATTCATTCTGCAGGACCGTCAATGGGCTCGCAATTGCATGCCACTCAATCACTGCGTGAGAGTGTAGCTGCGCAGCACAACACGGCAGCATTAGCCGTGTGGTTTGGCGCGGCAACTACTCAGTGTTCGCTAATCGATCAAGGCAAATATTTTGGATGAGGGCTAATGCAATGTGCATAATTCGAGTCAGCCGCACACACAGGCAAGCAACCCGGACATTGAAATAACAGCAACTGCTGCAATAATTCTGCGCCTTGAGGGCAGACGGTGGCATTTGCTGCGCGTATTTCACGTAGTGAAACTCATCGTAGAGCTGGCAAATGATATCGGCCGGCATTCAGTGTTAAACGGACACCTGTCATTCGCACGTGTAATATTTTTGTAATACAGAGTGCATTGTACTATATTTTGTGAGAGATCATTGCTCATTTAGTAGATATTTATTTAGAAATGTGTTTCACATGACGAAATAGTACATATCATGATATCATCTAGCTATATTGTGAACATGGCCGGTGTAGTGTGTAAAATCTATTCATTGCTGAGGTTTGTCTGAATTGCTGTTATGCTATGTGGCGCAGGTGTGCCGCCAGAGTGGATGAAGTCGTGCAACTGGAGATTCAGCCCCCCCCCCGTCGGGGTAAAAATTAGTTAGGGTTATCTCGTTGGGAAATCTATGAAGAAATACAGTCGCTCTTCGTCTGTTGTGCCGAATTATTCGCAGTGACTTTGTAAAAACAAGCGGGAGGAAGGGGCGATTCGATATATTGCAATATGTCAACAATTATATATATATATTAACACTAAATATGGGGATAACATCCACGATTTTAGATAGCTTTTGGCGCGCTATTCGCATTGTAAGTCCCCCCCCCCCTACACACACACACGATCGTCAGGGACATTAGCCCCCTAACATTGGCTCGTAGCGCATCGCCGGGGACTCTAGCCCCTGTGGCGGCCTGTCTTCTGCGCCGCCTCTGATGTAGCGTTACTTTATTGAACATACTGCGTATATTATTATTTTACTCCTGATACGATTTCACGCTATTGTTTTAAGCAGGTTTTGTTCCAGCGGTGTGAATGCTCACTAAACATGCATACAGACACCTACATTTTCGAGAAAATTTCAAAATTTTGATTTCTCTTTAAAAGGTGACAAATGTTACAGAATTGTATTTTTTCGAGAAGCTATAGAAAAGCACCGAATTCTTGCCATGCAGTATAGGCTTTGTAGTTACAGGAACATCTGTATCTTAGAGGCAGCCAGCCACCTGGTCTACATGAAATACTCGGAAGTTGCATGCTGTTATGGTCCACGTATGTTCCTATAAGTATTATGTGTGTGAGCTTGCGTGCGTCCGTCCGTGCGTGTGTGCATGAGTGCGTGCGTCGTGTGTGTGCGCGTGCATGTGTGTGTGTATGCGCGTGCGTGCGTGGTGCGTGCGTGGTGCTTGCGTGCGTGCGTGCGCGCGTGCGTGGTGTGTGTGTGTGTGTGTGTGTGTGTGTGTGTGTGTGTGTGTGTGCGTGTGGGAATTATAAAACCTGGACCTAGGTAACTTCTGCAATGACAGCAGCAATTTTACTCACGTACCACAAAGCCAGCGGACTTCAGTAACAAATCATATTTTGATAGGCACACGTGGAACCAATCAAACCTTGATAGCTTGGTTCAGTAGCCAGCTGAGCCAACTCGATGAAGCTGTATTTGTTCGGCAAATGTCGCGGTGAATGGGACTGCTGTAGTGTGGAGCGCCGAGTGAGAGTGCTTCCAAAGCACGAGTATTTCTTACCTCATGACTGCAAAAGGAAACTCATACAGTATTATATATTATTACCCCTGTTCTATAAAGTGTATATATATATATATATATATATATATATATATATAATATAGAATTATATATATAATATATATATATAATAGACTATTGATAATGTCAGAAATCACATGTGCGTTCACGTAACTTGTGTGAAATGATGCGTACGATTGAATACCGCCAGCTAGGTGCTCGGCTATTAGTTCTATGCCGTAGCTACATGTGCGAACGTATCGATTCACAAAAACCACCGATAGACGAAAACAAATGAGCAGGATTATAATTGGTAATTACTATGTGAGTTACGCGGCGCCGATTGCCGGTAGCGATGCGTAGGCGTGGGGAAGAGGAGAGGAATGACACTTGTGCGCGATTGACTCAATACTCTCATCGTTCGAGTAACCATAGACCATATACAAATTGTATACAGTCTTTGGTCTAACTGGTTTTTTTGGGGTTAAAATTGCGATATGCGTTTGCGAATATGCGATCAATTGCATCTACGGTAAAGCCTCGTGCGGATACCACTGCGTACACGGCCAGTGGATGGCGTGCAGAAAAGCAGGTGTATTATAGCAGAAGTAGATAATAGGGAAACCTATTATCTACTCCTGATTATAGTCATGTGTTATTACTGTTATAGGCTTCACGACCATGCTTGCTTTCATATCTGCATCATTATATAGGGAACCCCCTAATCCCCAGGGATTCCCTATTATGTACTCTTGATCATATCTATCGCGAGGCAGACGGGCTCTCATTGATCGGCGGAACCCTCTCTTTAGTTGACATCCTATCGTATCGGGACTAATCATCTGTTGTTTAACGTATAAATATTGCCTAAAACACGCAGCTGCATCGACTCGATATCCGCGATTTTAGTTTAATTTCTAATTAAATATTTTTTAAATGCGCGCGCGTTCGTAGTTGACGTGTGATCCTGCAAATGAAAACCACACTAGTCGCTCGTATAGGTACCAATAAGCACACGAATACTACTTGTCTATTTTATGTGCCACTCATGTGGGTGGTCGATGGTTCTAACACGGTGAATTGTTTCGCTGACGGACGTCGTTAGACTGTCACAAAGCATATAGGTCGAATGATATAGCCGCAGGTATGATATTTTATCTATGGAATAAGTGCGTGCATTTAAGTGATCTCTATGATACCTTACACTAATGTACCCTGGTCTGGCTGGTACAGCATTTTAAAGGTTGACAGAAACTACATCTTGGTATTAGTTTATGTCGAAGTGGGACATGTATGTTAGCGATGGCCAGTCACGTTTGGTCCAGCCTCATTGAATTACATAGATCAACGATACCATCAGCTATGTTAAATGTCAGGGTCGTTTGTGCCGTGTGCACACATATATTCGTGTAATATTCTTGTGTTTATGCTAGCGTTTATAAGCTAGTTCTGTATCAGCGTGGTACGAATACCATCTGCGAATATTATTGCAGTTAAATTTCACTAGGCGTGAAAATATAGCGCATGTGCAATACAATACAATCGGTCTAGTAATGTAGCAGCATTTAAATATTTTGATTAAAACGCCGTTACTTTTAATATTCTATGCATTGTGGAATTGACACGTAGTTGATGTGCAGTGCGGATTAATTTTATTGCGTTTAAAATCCATTGCCGCAGGAAATTGCTAGCGATAATTATTTTCATCGTATATGGTAGACCTCTATATGCATGAATAGCAACACAGCGATATTATATGCAAACCTTATGCTCGTCTTTGCATACAACATCTGCATTTTATTTTTCGTCGTGTTTCAAGTACATTTAATTTTCCAATTGTTTTTGAAATGTTGTTGTTGTGGGAATCTATACGTTACATTTGAGTGGCTTGCTGTTGTGGTTATCAATTTGTATGAACTTCATTGTGAAACTTTTGTAATACATTGTACGAGAGGAGACCGCGGCAAGAGGGCTCAGAAATGGCGCGGGTACCTTTAATTATAGAAGCAATGTGGCAACATGGAGCCTGCAATAATGCCCGTTAACGTTTTGCACAATGTATTATAATTTCTGCGCAATGTTGTGACAATAAACGTGCAACTTTACTGTGTTCGTTCCTTCCGTTACCGTTGATTCCTTCAATTGCTGTACAAATTGAGTATCCAAAGTACGTTATCTACACTGTGTGACTATGTATAAAGATGTTTCTTAAGAACGTGTTTTGATTTGTTTGTGTATATTATGTGTAAGGTGTATGTCTATTAATTTATAAAGTAGGCCTACCACTGTGTAGACGTGAGTTATTGAATTAAATACGAATTACGAAGTTATATTACATTTTATCAATATAAAAAATTTACCTAGACATGTTTCATATAGTACGCCGTATTTCATACACGTATTCTAACATAAAAGCACTCATTAATATAATACACCGCTAGTCCGCATCTCTTTCCACAACCTTTCTCCTTCTCAATTTTTCACCAATCTACTGTCCTCATATAAGAGTCCTCAATATTTTGACTTTTTGAAGTTCTCCGTAAATGCTTTAGTTTTTCACTAATCTCTGTGACGTATTACTAAAGCAAGCCGAAAACAAAGAAGCTCCGAAGAACAATCGATGCGAAACGAAATACACGGTAAATAGTTTGGAGGTTTTATGTTAGCGTTTATTTCTATGAGGGGATCGTAACGCTAAGCAAAAATCGCGCCTTACGGTAAAATGTGTGTTTTTCACGCTAACGTTAAAGCATACGGGAATTTCATGTCTCACGCTATATCCCATCCGTACCTATAGATAGCGCTTACAAAAACATAGTCTTACTTTGATAGTGTAGTAAATAGAGTACTGTACCGCAGTATACGGACCTAGATGGCTGAGTTTTAATGTGAAAATACATGCATGTGACATATGCGTGTGTAAATGTATATTCTGGCATTAATGTGTAGGCCTACATTATATTTATCTTTGATTCCATTGTACCGGCATGGGCGTAACATGATACCCTGATGATACTCATGCCAAATTAGCTGGATTTTAAGCTTACGGATTTTAATAGAACAGTTTCATGGACATTTTTTCCGATATAAAGATCGGATGTAGTCTTTTGTGATGTTAAAATTAAATTCGCGCAATAATAAACATTTCCACTATACGATTAGTAGATTACAGATTTTACTATCGCATTTTAACAATAACTTCATGCGATGGTAATTAAACCTTGTATACACCACCTGTTCTGAAATTCCTATGCATAATTGCTATTCAGTAATGTTTTGTCGATATACATGCACAACTGTTACGAGCGTAGTCTCGCGGTCATCTTATAGGACAGAGAGTAGTCCAAGGCTGCCGAGTAGGAAGTTTGGAGGTGGATAAGACAAAACAGGTGGAAATATGAGGAGGGGTAAGCAGGTGGAATAATAAGAGAATGAGCGGGATAAAGCCTGATACAGTAGTACGTGTTAAACCTTTGAAAGAATAGCTTCGGCGGGATAAAGGAAGAAGAGACTAGATGTGGAGAGGCCGAGGAGAAGAGGAGAAAAAAAGGAAGAGGAAGATGGAGTGAAATACGGTAGGGTTAGGTGTGGAAAGCGAAGAAGTACGTGTAAGGTTGAGAGGCGGTAGGCCTACTATAATTGCTTTCCTCGTCTCTAACATGGGTTACCTCTTTCTCCCATCTATTCTTCCCTATCGTCCTCTCCTTACTCATCTGCCTCTTCGCTTCACACCATCTCCCGTTTACCTCGTATAACGTTTCTATCCTTGCTGTACTGCATGTTTCCTTTTTTCACCTCCGTGTTAATTTCTATACCAACACCCACCTACCCTACTCCAATCCTCCAAGTTCCCTTCCGTTCCTACTATCTTGTCTTCGCTACCACCTTATATAATAATTTCAACTCCCCGCGTATATGTCATCAGAATCTTTTAATCAGCCTCTCTCCTCTTTTTAGCCGGATTCTTAGACATTTCCCTTTCATTATCTTCGCTTCATCATCTTTATCAGATTTTATTAATTCCCACTTTATTTTATAATCCTATTCGTCCATCTCATTTCTCACCTGCTTCCCTCCCGATCTCTGCCCTTTCGTCTCATCCACAATCTTTTCTTCTTCTCTTATTTTATTATTTTCTTTCTCCTCCTCCTCCACCGCCTTCTTCTCCTCCTCTACAGTCTTAGTCCAATCTTGAATGGACTCAATGAGTGGCGTAATTTCGAACTAACTTGCGTTAATATCCGTTAACACATTACAGGGCAGATCTGGGAATTTTTGAGAAGGGTGGTCCACACTTACGGGAATATAGGGCAAATGGGTGGGTAGCAATGTAACATTAATAAGGAAAGTGGAACAGTAATTGGACTGCAAATTATCCAGCAACCGATTTAATTACATCAGGGTTATGTACGTGCATGTCATGTGGCTTAACGTGCGTACCCCTGTGCGCACACGTACGCTCGAGCTTTCGTAGTTGTCTAGTCGAGAATACAGGTCAGAAGAAAACACAGTGGCTACGCGTCCGGTCATCCATTACAAAGCTCAGCTCAGATTCCCAAATCCACGTCATGATTAGGCCACGCCTCTTTCAAACCGTTTATTTTACTGGATTTACTATTGCTTCAAACGTTACAAAAACCTTTTTTTGATAAAATACCTAAAGGTAAGTAATATTATGGTAAAAAGTTATTGTTTGTTGTTTTTTACTGAAAAAAATATAGTTGGGTTCACATAAGAAATATATGACCGGAGTTACCGGACGCGTACGTAGGCGCGTAAATACGGTCCGGAACCGGTCGCGTAGCCACGGCCTATTTTTTTCATTTTAGCTTTACGTAAATGAGAGATAATTCGTCTTACCTTAAATAACATTGGAGTTCTAGTAAAATCTCGTTCTTGCGTATTTTGATGGATCGTATTTGTCAAATTCTACAAGTGTTATATAGTTTTTGTTCGGCCGTGGCTACGCGTCCGGTTACAAGACGCCCAGCTCCCAGGCTACGTACGCGTCCGGTGACTCCGGTCATATATTTCTTATGTGAACCCAACTATATTTTTTTCAGTAAAAAACAATAAACAATAAGTTTTTACCATAATATTACTTACATTTAGGTATTTTATCAAAAAAAGGTTTTTGTAACGTTTGAAGCAATAGTAAATCCAGTAAAATAAACGGTTTCAAAGAGGCGTGACCTAATCATGACGTGGATTTGGGAATCTGAGCTGAGCTTTGTAATGGATGACCGGACGCGTAGCCACTGCGTAAATTCTTATTTGTCGAGGAGACAACTTTGAACAAACCACGATTGTTTTGTAATTAAGCGGATCGCGAAGTTTCATTAAAAATGTGTTTGCCATGAACATAGCAATTCAGATGAGAGCTCGTTTAAGCCAGAGACACACACTGTGAAATCCGTCACTGAATTATTAGTGAGCAAAAGGTGAACGTTTTCAACGATTTTTTATGCGATATATTCACGACAAAAACGTCTCTCTGTGAATATTGAGTTTATTGACACACGATTAGTCAATATATTAGCAAATATATGCGTACCGTAATCTCCCGTACCGGCTTGAATATAGACACCCCCATACATGTCAAAACCAGAGCAAGTGTGATCGATAAATCTTTTCGTATGGCGAATTATAAATGTTTTTCGCCCGTCAAACGCCGCGCGCGTGGCAGCACAATCGCAAATATGGAGTCGCTAATGTTTTGATAACTAGTTTTTCGCAACAAACTGAACAATACATAATTGATAATACACGGTAAGTGGTAATAAAATTGTGCGAACAGATCTCTGATGTGTTGTTATTTTGGTGTGGGCTGAAAGATTCGATAATTTTCTGAAGTCACAAATAGAAATCATTTTCAAGTATGAACAGAACAAGCCAGATGAACGGCACCACTGGGCTCTAGCTCTAGTAGTAGTACTACTATAGCGCGCGTATAGCTCTAGTACTATAGCCGCTTACATGAACTGCCGCTGGCCACTCATGTCGCCCGCGGCCTGCGCCTTCAGTCGACGCCAGCGGCCAGCGGCAGTCAATGTAAGCGGGCTATAGTACTAGAGCTAGCGCGCGTACAGATGCCACTGGGCTATAGCATCAGCCATTACGAGTGCTCGGGACCAACTTACTCCAGCCAGTCAGCGGGAACTATGTAGTATGTATTTCCGTACGTGGAGGGCTGGGCGGGTTGTGTTGGTTGTAGACAAAAACATTGTTGTTATCGGTAACAAATTAAATAGGCAGCCGCAGTGGCTACGGGTACGGTAGCCGTATCTTAATGTCTCGAGGCTACGGGTACGGGAGTCCATTCGCTTTCATACTTAACGAGACAAAGATGGCGGCGGTGGCGCTAGATTTCGAAATAACGCCTTGGGAAATGAATTCACGATTTGAGAGTTTAGATGAGCTAGAACCCTCACCCTAACGCTGAAAAACTTTTTTTTTCGCGCCAATAGCGGCGTACGGGCCGCATTCGCAGCGCATGCATTTTGCATGCGATCTCACGAAATTTCAATGAATCCCGTTCTGTCCCAATATAACCCTCACCAAAATATAAAAAAGGTTATATGGGACAGAATTATTCGGTCTACAGCGCCGCCAGAAATGGCCGTTTGAAGTTCGCAAATCGAATGTTCGTTTACCAGAAATACTGCAAGTAGACCATTTCAACGATAGTTAGAGGTTAAATTTTAGTAGCTGATATAACTTAAGGCATATTCACTTCGGATAAGAGGCATTAATTGCCTACCACAGACGTTTTATAGCCGCGTATAAGCGGGTCTAAGTTGGTCCCTCGCATCCCGAATGGCTCGTTCTATAGCCCAGTGGCAACTGTACGCAGGCTATAGTGCTAGAGCTACGGCACCACTAACGGCCCACACTCACACTGACAGCGACACAGGCACTTGAAGCGTTTCAATAAAATATAATGCTAAATAAATACGAAATCTATTTACTACCAAATTCTTAATGTTTCTATACTCTCTTTCACCTATTATTGCCGACAGTTTCCTGTAAATTCCGTCCAAATCCTCTTAAGTACACACGCTGCCGGCCGCCATCACAGGCACTTGAAGCGTTTTAATAAAATATAATGCTAAATAAATACGAAATCTAATACTAGTACTACAAAATTCTTAATGTTTCTATACTCTCTTTTACCTATTATTGCTGACAGTTTCCTGTAAATTCCGTGTAAATGCTCTAGGCACACACACTACCCGGCCGCCATTGCCGACGGTGCACAGTGACAGTTAAATATATAGCAGGTAGGAAAGCGCTCGACTCAAATTCGCTCGACGCTCGATGGATTTCACACGATTACAACACAAAGACACAACCATTCTACTCCATCTTTGTTTCTATTTCAACAGCAGTGTTCACTTGTTAGAAATACAGACTGTCTCTGTTCGTAACTGAGCTCTGTCACGCGAAATCACAAAAACACTGGCGAAATTCGAGCGTTCGCTAACGTTGCGCAGTCAATGTAAATGTCTGCCGGAATCAGGAAACACCTAGCGGCGCTATTCGTGACGTCATTCTTGCGCCGCAACGCTGCAACGTTTTTGCAACGCTCCAATGGCGAGGCTCGTACGGGAGGTGGAAAGCAGCGTGGTAGTTTCCCAAAATGCATATAGCCATGTACGTACTTGCAAACATTTACATTGACTGCGCAACGTTAGCGAATGCTCGAATTTCGACAGTGTTTTTGTGATTTCGCGTGACAGAGCTCGGTTACGAACAGAGACAGTCTGTATTTCTAACAAGTGAACACTGCTGTTGAAATTGAAACAAAGATGGAATAGAATGGTTGTGTCTTTGTGTTGTAATTGTGTGAAATCCATCGAGCGTCGAGCGGATTTGAGTCGAGCGCTTTCCTACGTGCTATATTTAACTTTCACTGTACACAGTTGGCAATGGCAGCCGGGTAGTGTGTGTGCATAGAGCATTTACACGGAATTTACAGGAAACTGTCGGCAATAATAGGTGAAAGAGAGTATAGAAACATTAAGAATTTTGTAGTACTAATATTAGATTTCGTATTTATTTAGTATTATATTTTATTGAAACGCTTCAAGTGCCTGTGGCCGCCATGGCTGCCGCGGCTGCACTGTGCACACTTACACTAATTATATATAGCAGGTAGGAAAGCGTGATCGCAAAATCCGCTCGACGCTCGCTTTATTTCACACATTCGCAGCACGAATACACAACCAACAGCTTCCATCTTAGTTTCTATTTCAACAACAGTGTTCACTTGTTATAAAAACATACTGTCTCTGTTCGTAACCAAGCTGTGTCACGCAAAATCACACAAAGACTGGAAGAAATTATCGCGTTTGCTCCCTTTGCCCAGTAAATGTAAATGGCTGCAAGTACAGGTCTGTATAGACTGGTACTCGCTCCCACCTCGATTACCCATCGAGTAACTAAGCTAAGCCGAGAGGTGGGAGCGAGTACCAGTCTATGGGCTATAGGCGGCGCACTGCTTTCCAACTCCCGTACGAGCCTCGCCATTGGAGCGTTGCAAAAACGTTGCAGCGTTGCGGTGCAAGAATGAGGTCACGAAGAGCGCTGGTGGGTGTTTCCTGATTCTGACAGCCATTTACATTTACTGGGCAAAGGGAGCGAACGCGAGAATTTTGTCAGTCTGTGTGATTTCGCGTGACACAGCTCGGTTACGAACAGAGACAGTATGTTTTTATAACAAGTGAACACTGTTGTTGAAATAGAAACAAAGATGGAAGCTGTTGAATGTGTATTCGTACTGTAAATGTGTGAAATGAAGCGAGCGTTGAGCAGATTTTGCAATCACGCTTTCCTACCGGCTATATTTATAAGTGTAAGTGTGCACAGTGCAGCCGCGGCAGCCATGGCGGCCGGCAGCGTGTGCATAGAGGATTTGGACGGAATTTACAGGAAACTCTCGGCAATAATAGGTGAAAGATAGTATAGAAACATTAAGAATTTGGTAGTAAATAGATTTCGTATTTATTTAGCATTATATTTTATTGAAACGCTTTAAGTGCCTGTGAACAGTGACACAGTGTCAGTTGGGCTCATAGTAGGACATATAGGGTCTATGTCCCCAGGTTACTGCCGGAACGTACCTTGGGTACAGTCCGGTATACCGGAACGTACCCTGGTCACTATTTGATATGGTTAGGGTTAGGATTAGGGTTAGGGAGTAGGCGTAGGCGACTCGCTAGACTCGTTAGTGGAGTAGGCGAAGTACGGTCCAGCATATTAGATAGTGCCAGGGTACGTTCTGGTATACCAAACCGTACCCAGGGTACGTTCCGGCAGTACCCCGGGGGACATAGACCCTCTCAGCGACAGTGACACAGTGTCAGTTGGTGTTATTGCCTGTTGTTATTTGCATTTTCATCGTTAATGGTGCCCGTCTTCCGATTCTTTTGGTATAGTTTCTTCGACTTCAGAGACTAATCATTGTGAGGTTACTGATCTGGGTCGGTTTCGGCAGTTGGTCAGATTAGATACAATAGTCAATAATGTAACTCAACAAGAGTAGGGTTGGGTTACTAGTCTAGTCCGTAATTGAGCATTATTTATTCCAAGCCAACCTCTTTGCTGAGACTGGGGGCAGACCTACAATTTTAGAGTAGTAGTACATACAGGTACGTAGGCACTTTGGCCGTTATAATTGATTCTTTAACACCTTTTCTTTCTATGAATGTGTGCACAGTAGTGACAGGTGTGATACTATTACTAGTAGTAGTAGTAGTAGTAGTAGTAGTAGTAGTGTGCGTGCACTGCGTGGGATCAAGGATAGTTTGGTACCCCACAAATGTGTTTTTGCATATATATATGTGCTAAACCAGGCTTGTGCCCTGCGTGCAGTGAGACTGCTTGTTGCAGAGGAGCATTTAAAGCAGATTCGGGCCGTTTCATCAATGAAATGAAAGTAAATAAGCACAATTTGTATTTGCTACAAAAGACCTAATGTTTATGGGCTCTCTGTCACATAGTAATAATACGTGAACACAGTACATGCAGTCTACGGTGATAAACTCACAGATAGAGTGAAATATATGGTGAAGAAAGATCTCTGTCTTTCTGTGTGTTTGTGGACAATGGTGTGTGATTGTATGTAATGCTGTGAGATTGTATGAGATGATGTGAGATTTAATGACATTTACATAGTATTATTAGGAAATAAAGAGTACATGAAGATTATAACTTTAGTAAGTAAACTTGGTAAATGGTAAGACTTTGGTCATAATACTATTTGTGTTTATTTACTATCATTATATTTTTGAAATGGCCCAAGTGCCTGTGGACACTGTTCCAACTGTTGGAACTCACAGTCTTTGAAGTAAAAGCTAGACATGCTAAGTTGCTAACCATTAGATCACCTCTGTTCTTTGCTGACATTTCAACTACACACAGTTTGCTGTATGGGAGGGTAAGGTGGTGGCGGGTAATAGTGGGTTGGCTCTATGCTTACGGCATAAGGGGTTCTTAATCTTGATAATTATTTGGTGGTTGACTCATAGCATCCTTTGTGCAAGCCTACTTTAGGACCCACATACATGAAGACGTTGTTATCATCATAAATTATCGCCACAACCCTGATACTAACTTAAACTTAATCCTATCATGTATGTACAATGTCCGTTAATTAGGCTTACCCAGAATCACCTCCCAGACACTTGTGTCTATGACCCTAGTACGAACAGTTAAAAAAATCAAAATATTGCTTTATCTATTATTATACTATAAAATAGTAAAAACAATAAAATTAGTATGATAGACTTATACATAAACAGTATCTCATAAGATGAACTGGGTGGATCAAATGTTATTTTTAATTATAAAGTTGTGTACAGGCATGACAAGTGGATTCCTGCAACCATGTAATACAGTTTTACTGATACCTATTTCTAGTGCATTCCTGCTGCTAATGCTTGGTCTGCATATTTTACATGTCATACAACTTGTAATAGTTTAGATTTGCATCCACTGTATATCCAAGAGTATATAAAGAAAATTCAATCTTATTTTAGGCCAGTGCTGATTGTGCAAACTACAGTATGGAGCAAGAAACGGCACCAAGAAAGACGTTGCAAAAAGCTCGCCATCTTTCTGAGATCAAGGGATATCGACACAAAACCGAAAGCAAACTAAATGCTACGGTTGATGAAAGCTCATTGGAGATGCCAAGCAGTAGTACTTGCACATCTGTAAAGAGATGCCTAGCGGTAGATGGTGGTACAAACACAGTCTCAAATTCTAAACGTTTCCGTAGTACTAAGACAGGAAGGAAAGAAAGCGAGGTGTGTACTGAGCAAACGGACGCATGCATAAACTGTGGAGAAGATTCTAATACTACACAGCAATTGTTGGAAGGTCAGGTCAGAACTAACCACCAGGTTCTAACTTGTCAAACAAGTCAGCAGAACGTCGAGGAAATTCACTGTAATGTGCAAAATACAGACTTAACTATCGGGACGGCGTCACCTATGACATCTTTAGAAATCTGCAACAATCCAAGTAATAAAAGTGAGCGAACGGACATGGACTCACTAGGTAGAAGCAATTCGGTTGAGATATTTCCAATGGAAGAAGCGTGGACGCTCAGATCTGAGTTTGCCGATGCCGGGTCGGCGACGATGGCGCTTGATGAGCAGGCATGCCAGGCCTTGATGGACGAGGCTGTGTTGTATGAATCGGGCGACTCCGACACTAGCAGCAGCAGCAGCAGTGATGAGGTCGGAGATGCCACAGCCGCGGCGACGGAGGAGGCGGTGCAGGACTTTGCTCGGCGAGTGATCCACACTATTACGCAGACGTACGTGCGGCTACGCAGATGGCAGTCACGACACATGGCACGCAGCATCATCGACAATGCTATCAATAAGGTAGGGTTTCGAGGTTTCACACATATTTATGGAACATGCCGTGAAGCTTTAAAATTCATGAATACGAGTAGCTCATAGACATTTTGATGCTGGCTGCTGCAATATGTCTGCTGCTATTATAGGCCCAATTCAAATTCTGGCTTTCTGTTGGTATGAACTATTTCACCAAAGTTAAAATGGGTTTTGAACGTTTCCATTAAAATGTTAAGTGCTCCAAAACGGAAATGCAAAGCTATAGCTTGATAAATTTACAACACTCATACAATGCTAAAAAACAGATATTTGTATTCATTCATAAATGTCCACAGCGGTCCTCTGGGCCGGTGGTTTCAGCCATGTTAGCGAGTACCTACATTTTTATTTAGCAAATGTCCTACATTACCAGGGTGCAAAATTAACGGGAGTCCGGAGTCGAATACTCCCTGATTTACTGTCGGACTCCCTGATTTACTGTCGGACTTCCTGATTTACTGTCGGACTCCCTGATTTACTGTCGGACTCCCTGATTTGACATATGCAGGAGTCCGTGTGACTCCCTGAAAATTCTGCCATACTAACTAGTTTGTTCCGGAGCACGGCCTTGCGGAATTACGGTATTTTTTCAACTAATTTCCAAAGAAAATTTAGCGGACGTGCAACCGCATGAATCTTAAAAATAAGCACATGCGTTATTTGCGATATTAATATCTTTAATTTTGAACCTCAGACTGCGAACTCCCTAATTTTGCTGCGGACTCCCTCTTTTTGAGGGTAGTCAAAAGTGTTCAAAAGTAAATTTCTACCCCTGCATTACTGTTTTACCCTAGAGTAGAAGGATATCACGCCATAATTTATCAACATTTTACAAATTTGAAATAGAAAATGCGAGCGTGAAATATGACATTGACAAAAACACTTTGGACATCATACACGATATCTAGTACTTATAGTATACTCTGTTCAAACGCTACTACGCGATGCCGCAAACTACAATAATTTCCAGACAATAGACAGCAAGAAATTACAAAATCAATTACAAGCAAGAGATCAGTGAAACAGTCTTATCTTTATTTTGGATAAAAAGCAAAATTTGTGAGGGTTGGTAAATTATGGTGAGGGCCGGTAAAAAAAAACTGCTGATACCAGCCAGCTCTCTGTCCCAGTGCAAGAAAATCTAAATTTTATGCCCTGTGTACATATTATAAGAATTTTTCATTCATGTGCATTTTCATCTTTATATATACATGTATCAATCACACGAAAAACAAGTCAGATGCGGTATTTTACATTGTTTAGGTTTTTTTTAAATCTGAGTGATAGTACATTATGACATCAAAAGGGTCGTGACTACAAAATGAGCAGCCCTGTGAATTTGCAAATTATTTGTATGTGTTACTGCAATTCACTTTATTCTTAACTCCAGCAGGGCCAATAGCAATCACTCAGCAGTCGGCCACAATTCATGTCACGTAAATTGTTTTTATTGCAGTTGTGTGATTGAGCTACATGTATAGGTCTCACAGCTGTCATTTGCCATGTAGTAATGTCATCATCCCAGCAATCTTGCAATACGTGTTAAAAGTAATTAGAGAAGGAAATCTATAGACTATAGCTTCACGTCAGGTCATCATCATCTCGAGCAAAAACAACCTTTGCAATATGCGAGCTGGCATCTGCCGCACTCAGATCTCTTAACTCTACACAAATTCATATGGGCTAATCTCGACGAGACGAGCATTGTGACGCGAGATTAAAGAAGGTTAAGTTATTGTCCATCAGCGGCCTGCATTCAAGATAAAACTACTGTATAGAGAGCATGCCGTAATGAAACACACTTGCACGAGATTGCATCGTAATCCTTTTCCCATACATGTAGGTGCTGGAGGAGTCAGGACTGGCTCCAAGCTTAGCCCAGAGTAACGTGCACGCGATGCCGCAGCTAATCAATGACGACTACCACGACGATGATGACGACGATGACGACGAGGCTCGCAATATCGAGGACAACACTCGCCAGCAGATGGCTGTCAGTCTGGAGGCAGAGGGCGTGTCTGCAGCCATTCTTAACAGGTAGGGGGCTAGCTGTGGTCGCTCGTGTTGAATAGTAATGCGTGGCGGGTCACAAGGACGCGCGTTGATAAGTGCCACGTCGACGTGACACGCTTCTGTGACTTGTCGTATATATTTCCAGCTGTATATTTTAATGACGGGGGTGAAGATATTGTTGAGCATAGGATGTGCAATTTTTTTTTAAACGCTTGCGAAACGATGTAATTAACGATTGAAAACGACGACGGATGTGTAACCCTATCATTGCTCGAGGCTTCATTATGTATCAGAACGTTGCAATAAAATTCCATATAATGAAACGGGTTCTCAAGGGAGTAAATTTGCATCATTGGGAATGAGGCTGTCATTGGTTTGCTTGCTGCACTGCATAAATTGAGTCATCGCTGCACTGCACTGGCATGAGTCACCAACTTAGCTTACACCTCTAACACTTAAATGCTTATAATTTATGCGTGTTGCATAATATAACGTGAAGATGCACTTATGTATTCAGTGATATCAGGCTAATAGTCGCACATGCGCAGTGATATATAAAATATGTACAGCTATAGTCGTAGATGTACAATGATGCTCGAGTCGTCGATGCGCAATGATGGTTGTAACTGTGAAATGATGCTTGTAGATGGAAATGATGCTTGTATATCCGCAATGATGCATGTAGATGTGCAATGGTGGTTGTCGGTGCGCAATGATACTTGAAGATTTACAATGGTGCTTGTAGATGTGAAGTGATGCTCTTATTTTTGTAATGATGATTGTACATGTGCAATGATGCTTGTGCATCCATATTAACGATTGTAGATGCACAATGATGCGTGTAGATGTGTAATGATGCTTGTACATATGCAATGATGTTTTTAGATGTGCAATGATGTTTGTAGATGTGCAATGATGCTCGTAGATCTATGTGCAATGATGCTCATATACATGTACTCTGATGTTTGTAGATGTGCAATGATGCGTGTAGATGTGCAATGATGCATGTACATGTGCAATGATGCTTGTAGATGTGCAATGGTGATTGTACATGTGCAATGATGCTTGTAGATGTGCAATGGTGATTGTGGATGTGCAATGATGCGTGTAGATGTGCAATGGTGATTGTGGATGTACTCTGGTGTTTGTAGATGAGCAATGATGCGTGTAGATGTGCAATGATGCATGTACATGTGCAATGATGCTTGTAGATGTGCAATGGTGATTGTGGATGTACAATGATGCGTGTAGATGTGCAATGATGCATGTACATGTGCAATGATCCTTGTAGATGTGCAATGATGCTCATATACATGTACTCTGATGTTTGTAGATGTGCAATGATGCTTGTAGATGTTCAATGATGCGTGTAGATGTGCAATGGTGATTGTGGATGTACAATGATGCGTGTAGATGTGCAATGATGCATGTACATGTGCAATGATGCTTGTAGATGTGCAATGATGCTCATATACATGTACTCTGATGTTTGTAGATGTGCAATGATGCTCGTAGATGTACTCTGGTGTTTGTAGATGTGCAATGATGCGTGTAGATCGTAGATGTACTCTGATGTTCGTAGATGAGTAATGATGCGTGTAGATGTGCAATGATGCATGTACATGTGCAATGATGCTTGTAGATGTGCAATGGTGATTGTACATGTGCAATGATCCTTGTAGATGTGCAATGGTGATTGTGGATGCACAATGATGCGTGTAGCTGTGCAATGATGGTTACACATGTGCAATGGTGAGTGTAAATGCGCAGTGATGAAGTTCGTCCTCCGTCAGCGAGGTCATTTGGATTGAGAGTAATGATTATTTGATGGCCATCCAGTTGGTGCACGCAGCACAATACATACGTGTCTGCATGGTGCGTGACAGAAATATTTTACCTTTTTTCTGGAAGCCATCATCTCTTTAAGTGAGTGATTCAAAGCTAAGCTGTCTATTCGGCAGCTGTTAGGAGCATTATGTACAGATAACGGCCGGGAATTTCATGATGACGAAATTGACGATAGCTGAGATGTATGCTATACCTAGAAACTACAGGAAAAATTGTACCGCAAACATTTAGATAGTTGGGCAAGAGGCAGCTGAAGCGTGAGTGTTGTTTTTACATTATTGCCAGGAAAAAACTTTATCAGGCAATTAATCAAAGCGTATTCATGTCTGAAAGAGATTTTAGAAATGTGTTGTCAGAAGTCGTTTGAAAAGTCGGCCAAGACAACTTTGGCTAAATAATTCACAAACTTTAGCTAATTTTCTCATTATTATACTCGGATTTTTTCAGTGATTTGATTGCAATAACGCATCGTCTGTAATTAAATCTTAATAATAAGTTGCATGTATGCACTTCATCAAGTATCCGTACAGCAGGCGAACGGCCATGTATCCACGTGTTGATGCGAGTTCTAGTACTCGGCTTCATTAAGCGCTACGCTACGTACCATGCCTATAAATATATATAATATCGGCAGCACTGTTGATTGCGTGTTCACTGTGGTGGCGTTTTAACGAGGCGTGTCCAAGCCCTATAGAACGCGTATAAACAGCGTACACAGGGCAGAGTCGTCTGTTCGTTGGATGAATGCGTGCTAACGTCACATACACATAATAGCTGTACGCAGCGATGGGCTCGTGTCACTCCAACACACCTTCTTGCTCAACGAGTATAATTGTTCCTCCTCTCCCTTTCTCTGTACGTCCCCGACGTCACATGTAAATTTAATTCGTTAAATGCGCGGGGAAAAAAACAGGGACGTGTTGGCGACGTTGCTAGTAAACAATTGGGTGAAAGACTATTTAACAAACTACTTGCCTAATGCAATTATTTATTTATCGTACGCTGCCACAACGCTGTTATGAATGGTAAATGGAAAGTTGTGCAGATGGGGTCGTTGTCGTATCAGGTACTACAGATATGTACCCGAGGTAGTTTTAGGTTGTTAGCTCATCTGACATAGTCAGATGCAGCTTGTAGAATCGCATGATTGTCCGTCCGTCCGTCCGTCCGTCCGTCAACAGTT